CTGGGCTCAATCAGTCCTCCCACCTTGGCCTCAAAGTGTTGGGACTGTAGGCGCAGCCATTGCACCTGGCCTGTTTCTGCTTTTATTAGCTCAGAGTGGTTGAGTGGGGAGAGAGACAATGACTTCAGCTATCCAGAAAGAGATTAAAAACACCTGCCTGCTCTAAAAGCTGTGTAGCAGTTTCTAGAAGCACGCGGAGCCCATACTACTGCTTTCTTCAGCCCACCAGACTGCCCGTGAGTCAGCATTGCCTGTTGAGAGCAGACCTACATCTTCAGTTTCATAAATACCCGATTTCTAGAAACACCTACCGAAAGCAGAAAGAATAAGAGTCGTTCACAGAACTTCTAGTGTTCTGCCAAATCTCAGCAGATCGCTGCAGTAGGGGAACTGGGCCTGTCTTTACTGAGGGGACCTTCCTGAAGTCGGGGAGGAGGTGCCTGGATTTGGTTAGCCCACGCTTCAGGGTGGTGTCTGAGTGCTTTACACGCCTGCTAACAACACTGCCTTGTTGAGGTGAACTGTCTAGCTGAGTGGAGGTGGAGCCAAGGGACCTTTCAGGAGTCTGTGGACAGGGAGCAAGGGGCTGGAAGGGGCCGAGGTGGGAAGGGAGCGGTGGGCAACGTTTGAAGACATTGTGCTGTTCTGGACTGACCAGCCCTTCCTCTGAGCAGTCAGTGAACGGTCGACTTAGTGAGCACAGACAAGAACGGTCTCTCCTTGGTGGTGACGGGAATGTGCCAGGTGAGGGTGTTTTTTTTTTTTTTTTGAGGTGGAGTCTTGCTCTGTTGCCCAGGCTGGAGTGCAGTTGGGTGATAACTCGCTCACTGCAAACTCTGCCTCCTGGGTTCAAGTGATTTTTGTGCTTCAGCCTCCCCAAGTAGCTGGGATTACAGGCACATGCCACCATACCTGGCTAATTTCTGTATTTTTAGTAGAGGTGGAGTTTCACCATGTTGGCCAGGCTGGTTTTGAACTCCTGACCTCAGGTGATTGATCGGGCAAGGGCTTTTCCATACAAGGGGACTAGCACTGAGAGGCTCCTCATGTTGTACCTCTGTCCCACGACTTCTGGAATGTGCACTGTGGTTGTAGGATGGAATTCTGTTCCAGCTGGTCTGGAACTCCTGGACTCAAGTGATTATCCCATCTCAGCTTCCCAAAGTGTTGGGATTACAGGTGTGAGCCACTGTGCCTGGCCAATGTTCTGTACTTTTTAAAATATGTAAAATACTCATTCATTTTATCCTTTACTGAGATATTAACAATGATATTTCCTAAAAATATAGAGTGCCTTTCTTAGAAATGTAGCATTCCTTGAAACATCTGGTCCCCTGAAGTTGGAGCTGAACTTGGAGCAGGCGAACATGAGGAAGAATTCCATTCATTATATGGCTGTGGGAGTACAGCAGGGGCCGCAGAAGCATCCGCAGCCTAGTTCCCAGAGCCTGTGGAGTTGTCAGCTAATCTGTGTGGGGTCTCCCAGGGCAGCTGAACAGATGAGCACAAAGGGGGCCTCAAACAGCAGAAACCCATTTTCTCACAATCTGGAGGCCAGAGGTTCAAGACAGTGTGTCCTGGGGTCCTGCTCCCTCCAAAGGTCCTTGGGGAGCCAGCCTCCTTCCTGCCTTTTCCTGCTCTGGTTGGATGGCTGCAGCCCCTGCCTCTGTGCCCACTTGGCCCCCTCCATCTCTGTCTGAGTATCCATCTCCTCGGAAAGACAGCAGTCAGTGGACATCTGGCCTTGTTTGCGCCTGCGTTTCTTTATCCTAACGTGGTCACACCTGCATTACATGTTGATTACTTCCACATAGGGCCACATTCTGAGGTTCCAGGGGACATGAATTTTGGGTGACACCACTCAGCCCAGCCCCCATCGTAATGGAGACTTGGTGGGTAAAGGTGCGGGTCCTGAGGCAAGGGGGCATCCTGGATCACCTAGGCAGGCTTTGTGTCATCACAGGGTGTTGGTATGAGGGGGGCCCATGGCGGGAGCAGGAGTGAGAGGTAAGAGAGGCTGCACGTAGCTCTGAAGGTGGAAAAGAGCCCAGGGGCCGAGGAGGGCAGTGGCCTTGGAAGCTGGAAGGAAGGGAGTGGACCCCCGAAGCCTCTAGGAGGCAGTGGCCCTGCGCATGCCTCGGCTGACAGAAAGGCAGCTCACGTTAATCCATTTTCTTCCATAGACTCCCCTGAGCAGCACAGGCCAAAACCTTTAGCTAGGGGCATCCACTCACAAAATCTCCATCCCTGCCAGGCTCCTGGCATGGAGCCCACCTGTGGTGTGTGGGCCAAGGTTCGAGGACTGTGAGTCAGGACAGGTGTGGCTCTTCCAGATGTGCCAGCGCCTGGGTTGGTGCTGGCAGGAGAAAGTGTAACCCCACCTTTCATGGTCCTTTCCCATTTGGCTTCATTTTGAATTCATTTAGGGAGCATTTATGCAGGGGCTCCCAGGGTGGATCGATGCCTACTTTCAATACCTGGAATTAGAGGAATGCGTTCATCTCAAAAGAGTATTCTGACGTTTTTCCAGTCTCTACTGTGAGGCCAGATCTGTACTCTCAGAATGGGGTCCTGGACATGGCGTCCATGTCTTCTGGGAACTTGTTTGACGCAGCTTCCCTGGTCTCTCCCTGTGGCTGTCACGTCTGGAACTTCTGGTGATGCTCATTTGTGGACTTCCGACCTGGACTATTCCCTCCCTCCCTTTAGTAAGGGTTAAAATCATAAAGGTGGCAGCATCTGGTAATTTATTGCCAGATGTTAAAACAATATTTAATAAGAGGTAGCGATGTCCTTATTCACATTCTCATCTTTAATGTATTTAATTTTTGGTACTGAAAAACGGCATAACCTTCAAGGCAGAAATAAGGTTGCTGGTTTTTTTATGTAGTTGTTTAGCCTCCTAGATTGTCAGAGAAGCATTTATTTCTTTAACTGACAGGTAAGGATTGTATATATTATGTGTTTATGGGGCACAGTGTGATGTGTTGACATTTCTTTATGTTCTGGAGTGATTCTCAGCCTGGCCACACATTACAGTCACCTGGGAGCTTCTCAGAAACCCTGACAGGTCCCCCACCTCACTTCCCTATCCCCTTGCTGATTGACTTGGCTGCCATGGGGCTTGGAGTTGACGTTTTCCCATGTTCCCTCTGATTTTGATGCGCAGTTAGGGAGGAGAGCCACTGCAAACAAAGGAAGATCATCTTTTCTCTGTGTGAAGCCGATGTGTATGTATATATATTTGTTGTTGAGACGGAGTCTTCACTCTGTCGCCCAGGCTGGAGTGCAGTGGTGTGATCTTGGCTCACTCCAACCTCTTGTCTCCTGGGTTCAAGCGATTCTCCTGCCTCAGCCTCCCAAGTAGCTGGGATTATAGGCACGCGCTACTATTTCTGGCTAATTTTTGTACTTTTAGTAGTGGGGTTTCATCATGTTGGCCAGGCTGGTCTGGAACTTCTGACCTCAAGTGATCTGCCTGCCTCGGTCTCCCAAAGTGCTGGGATTACAGGCGTGAGCCACCACGACCGGCCCTGTTCCTTGCTGTTTCATATGGGAAGATAATGTGGCAGGTGCCCAAGAGTGAGCCTTTAAAGTGGCCTGGTCTTGTGGGAAGGCATGATCACCTGCTGCCCTTGACTGAGACACTGAGGAGCTTGTGAGGAACTGAAGTACAGGGTACATTTTTCCTGGGTTCTTTTTTTTTCCCCCAGAGCCCACTTTAGGAAGGACTGGGTCCTTTGAATTTAGAAAGATAGGCGGCTAGAAGACATGTTTATAATAAAAATGGTGAGGCATTAGGGTTTACAGATAATATTCACGTTTGTATGGGTCCATCTCTGCTCTTGACTGTCTGAATGGGAGCTGAATTCCTGTTGAAATCTATGGATTCATCTCTTGAATAAATACATTTGCTTTTGCGATAGCTATGCTTCGTAAGGGTGCTTTTTAAAGTGCATGTTCTCGGACACGGGCTTTGCGATTCCATGAGGAAGCTTGTGTCCCCTCTGGGTCTGCATGCTGGCAGCCCATCTGGCCACACGGTTTCTCTGACTCATCTCTTGGGATGGTTTTGGTGGCTGTCGCAGATTAAAGGAGTTGATACCTGTTCAGCAGAGGCTGCTGCTTCCAAAGTACAGCAGAGTCACCGCTTTGAGCAACATGCAGAGCTTAAAGATCCAGGGAGGATGTCGCTTTAGAACTGGCATCTCGGGAGGCTGCTGTGTTTTTATTTCAGAAATGCTGCATTGAGGCAAAATAGGGAACTCCCCTTTTGTGATTGCCAGGCGTCTGAGGCAGGCTCTTTGGGCATTCTTCAAAGGGGGAGCTGAGGGGAGGGGAGGAGAGGAGAGTGCACCATGCTGACTAGTGTTATTTTTTTCCCCCAGTATTTCATGATGAAGTTTTGAAAATAGAAGAGTTGGAAGAATTGTCCAGTGAACCCACATTTCGTTATCCAGCTACCCAGCTGCCCAGCTATCCATCCCTCCGTGGACTTACTTTCTGATGCATTTCACACTTGCAGGCATCAGTACATTTCACTCCTAAACACTTCAGTGTCGAGATCAATGTTTGTTATGGTTCTTGATCACACACCCATCGAGATGTGACTGTAAAGCAGCAAGACCGGCTTGACTGTGTCCTGTAAACGGACTCAGAGGATTCCGTAAGGGGTGGCCGGCAGCAGCCTGCACACAGCCCAGGCTCAGTTAGGAACTTCCTAAATGATGATCTGGGCTGAACCCTGGGAGCTGTTGGAGTCCAGCCTCCTCTCCAAAGGCTCGAGAGGTTTCTCATTCCCTGTACCCTAGATCCAGGTGGGGGCCTCCTTGCTGCCGTCTGGCCTCTTGCCCTCCCTGCTCCATCTTCCTTCCTGTGGTCTGGAGGGGTCATGCTGCTCCAGTGCTCAGAAAGCTTGCATGGCCCCCACAACCTGCAGAGCCCCGAGACCCTGCCCATTCGCTGAGTCACACTTGCTCACTCAGCAGATACAGTTGCAGGACAGCAGACGGAAACCATGTCTGCCAGCATATTGACTGCGCTGTGGTCTCTGAGTGGTGGGATTACCAGTGAGCTTTAGGTTTCCTTTTTCCAAATTGTCTTCAGTGACTATGTATGTGTTGCTTTTGAAATAGGGGATTTTTTTTTTTTTTTTTTTTTTTTTTTGAGACAGGGTCTTGCTCTGTTGTCCAGGCTGGAGTGCAGTGGCACAATCATAGCTCACTACAGCCTCCTCCTCCCCGGCTCAAGTGATCCTCTTACCTCAGCCTCCTGGGTAGCTGGGACCACTGCGCATGCCACCACACCCGGCTAATGGAAATTTATTTTTAAAAAAGAGGTGACCCAGCTGAAATTTTAATCTGCAGTCCTGTGACATTTTGTCCTCTGCCCCAACCTGTTCCACAATCCCTGACTTCCGCTGTTGTGTCAGATGCCACTGGGGCTTTCCCGGGGCTGTATTTTATTTTCTTCATCTCTCTTTCTGTTCTTGTTCTGACTGCTCTAGTTAGAATAGTTCATTTTCATAGGACTCGTCTTAGGAAATTTGGAGTATCACTGGCTGCTCTCACCTCTTCATATGGACTTTGGAATCATTTTGTTAAGTTACTGTTTAAAACCTGTGGGTTTGGGCCACATGCGGTGGCTCACGCCTGTAATCCTAGCACTTTGGGAGGCCAAGGTGGGTGGATCACCTGAGGTCAGGAGTTCAAGACCAGCCTGGCCATCATGGTGAAACCCCATCTTATAAAAACAAAAACAAAAACAAAAAAAAACCTGTGGGTTTGAGTTGGGACAACATTATGTGTGATTAGTTGGGGGAGTTTTTGTCCTCAGTGTTTTCTCGCCTTGTACGAATGCTTCTCGTCTCTGTCTTTACTGAAGTCTTGTAAAGCTGTGAGTGGACTTAGTGCCTCCTGTTGCCGATGCCAGGTCTGCTGTTCCCCCCACCAAGCAAACGATGCTTTTGCTGCATTCCTGTGCGAGTCCTTGTTACTTGTCTGGCTGAGTGCTCAGTCATTCTGCAGGACTCAGGGTTTGTGGGAGCTTTCCAGGTACACAGGCGCCAGGCGTGCTCTCTGCCCTGAGCTGGTCTTGCTTGCTGCTCTGGTGGGTGTCCTGGGTGAGCACGGGGCCCCCTCTCATAGGCAGCCCTCACGTGATGGTTCCCAGCACTTTCTATCCCACCGTCAGGAGACCTGGGACCTGTGCTTGGCCCAGTGACCCAGATGAGTGAGACTCTATCTGCCTGGGCCGGCTGGCTATGGTGACCATGATGGGGAGGTGTGTGCAAAGCACCCTGTCTATTCTGTCTATATAGAATATCTATACAGGTCTGTACTCTCCTGCCAGGTCAGTACTCTCTACTCGCTCACCCCTTCTCCACCCGCCAGATGAGCTTCTACACCCAGGCTCCACTGTCAGGGAACGCAGGCCTGGGCAGGGGAAGTCACTGGGAGCCTCCTCCTTCCCCATGATCACACTCACTGCTTTCTCTTGCCAGGTAAGGCTTCCCGAATGATGGGAGCTGGCAGTGGTGGTGAAGTGTGCGAGGCAGGCTTTATCAGGCATTTAGCAGCCAAGGGGTGGCTTGTAAATGCCGATACAATGCAGGGGCTAGAGGGGCTGGGCTGGGCTGACCTGGGGGGCTGATGGAGAGCAGGCATGTGAGGTGGAGAGGCAGGAGGGTTGGTGGCAGCCACATGGCAGAGGGCCTAGGGCCTGGCCAGGGAGCTGTGGAGAGAGGCAGTGGGTGGGTCGGGGGTTCAGGATGGCCTGAGGGGAGGCAGCTGGCACAGTGGCCCATACGCCATGTGGTAAAGACCTAGGAAGGGCCTGGGGGCAGCTTCAGGGGTGACCTGGAGCTGCTCAGGAAGTGAGATGGCCCAGCCTGACTTGGCCATTGGCTGGCAAGGAATGGGACAGAGATGTTTTGTCCTGGGCCTCCGGCAAGTGTGACATTGTCATTATTGGGATAGCTTTAAAGATCTGATTGCTTACGACATGCCTTGTAGTGGTGCCAGCGTCTTAGCATTTGGCAGGCCTGATCCAGCTCTCTGTTTGCACCCCTTCTGTCTTGTTCCTAGAAAAGAGATTTCCCCGCCTTGCTTGATTTCCCCCCCACTGATGGGAGGCTCATCACTTTACGGGAGGCTCATTTTACTCAGGCTTTCTGAGGATCATTTCATTCTGATACAGCTTCAGAGGCTTGGTGTGCGTGTGTTTGGAGTGCTCTCCTGCAAGTCTTTTGTGAGTCCTCATGGTTCCCTCCTACTTCTTGGGGCTCCCTGGCTCCCTGTGGCATGGTGGGTCTAACACAGAGACTTGCTCTTTCTCTTCTCCTGTAGTGCTTCACCGATACAGACACATTTTGGGATTGTGGCAACCAGATATCGGGCCGTACGGAGGACTGCTGAACGTGGTGGTAAGTCCCAGAGCCTTGTGACGGGGTTTGTGCATGGGCAGGAGTGACGTCTTAAGTGGAGGATGAGGGCCTCTTCCACCTGGGTACCAGCTGGCCCACATGGGCGTGGGAGGTAATTACCAAAAACTTCTTGCTGGGTCACTTTTCAGGACCCCCATTTTATTTTCCAAATGAACAAAGATTCGCTTAGAGTACCACTTTGGCCTTTTGGTCCATCCTTGGACTTTCTGGTCGTAGGGGGTGGCTGTGAGGGCGTTTGCTTCCTGGATGCTGAGGCCTAGTGTGCACATGCAGGGGTGGTCTGGAGTCTGCACTCAGCCAGGTCCTTCCTTTCTGGGTCTTTACCCCACATGATCTAGCCATGTTGTGCTCTGACGTCTGTTTCCTCGGGTTCTGTAGATCCCCTCTGACCCTATAGTCTGGAAAGTGCTAGAATGTTGCAGGTGGAAGTCCAGGCTGGTGGCAGAGTTGCCTCCGTTTCCCATCTCCTGGCAGCCTGGTGTTGGGGTCTGAGGACCTGTGAGGACATTACTTTTCTGTTTCCTGGGTCTGCTGTGGCAGTGTCTGTCTAGTCCCAGGTACTTGATTATGGCCAGAGATGGAAGTCTGGTTTCTTTTTTATTAAATTCTCATATTCTGTTGATGTTTTCCTTCTCTTTGTCCATCTTTTTGGGTATAGTAGTGAAAGTTTGTTTCAAGTCTAGCCCTTGCCTTTTCTCCTGATCTCCAGGCATGCCAGTCGTCCCTCACCCCTCACCGTGTGCCTGGGCACTTGTCTGGGTGCCGTGGCCTGGTCTTCCCAAGAGGCCCTGGCCCTGGCCTGCAGGCAGAGCTGAGTCAAGAGCACCTGCTCTGCACAGGCCTAGGGTGTGCGCACGTCTCAGGCTTGGGGAGGTGTCTCATTCTCATTCCCGGTCGCTCTGCTTCATCTGTGGGGCCCAGGCAGAGGCCCTGGGTGCACTCTTTCCCCAGGCCCTGTGAAAAGGTCCTTCTGCCTTTTCTTGGCTTTGTAAGCCACGCTTCACTCAGCCCCTTCGCCTCTCAGCAGCCATGCTGCTTCCCACCTCCACTTCCCACCCCTCACTCAGGATTCCTCAGTGTCTAGTGCAGCTGCCTGTGCACAGTGTGGGGCTGTGTTCTCTGGTTACCGTCTTCGGCATTTCGCCGCGGTAGTCCTGGCCCGTGTGGCCCTGGCCTCCATGTGTGCCTCTCCAGCCTGCAGGTGTCAGGCATAGGCCTTCCTCCCCAGCCAGTGTTCAGTGGCCTCAGGAAGTGGGGAGAAAGCCCTGCCCTTCGGCCCCCCAACCTGTCCCTGTTCTTCAGGGCCTTGTGTCCTCATCTCTGGGCTACCTTCATTGCTCTCTGATGTGTTCAGTCTTTTTTTGTTTTCTCTTTTCTTCCTCCTGGACTTAGGAGACAGACAGTCTTCAGTCTTCATGGCTATTCTTAGCAGGAGAGTAGGTTTGATATGAGCTCTGTGGCCAGGGCGAGGAGCAGATGTCTGCTTGTAGTTTTAGTTTCTATGCTACCCGGCCACCTGCCAACTTATGTTGAACAGTAGCTGCTCATTCAGCACAGAGGTCTAACTTTTCTTGGTATTTGAAGGTGTCTCTGTGGAGTGAGGATGTGGTGCTCTGCAGGGTCCGCAGGGCTTCTGGTCTGCCCTCCCATCCTCTCCCCCTTCCTCCCTCCCGCCCTTTCTCCCTCCTTCCTGCCCTTACACCCTCCTGCTGGAGCCTCTTGAAGGGAAGGCCCTGCCCTGACTGTTGAGCTCTGGGCTGGCACCTGGCCCCTGAGATGTCACTGTTGCCATTGCTTTTGCCATGGTGAAAATCTGGCACTGGCGTTCGGCTTGTGCTCTCCTCCCTTTTGTCCACTTGGACCTGGGGCTGAGCCCAGTGAGGGCGGGTGTGTCTGTCTCCCTGTGGCCTCTGCACAGGTTCTTCTGGGCCTGGTGTGCACAGCCCCTGGGCCAGTGGCTACTCTGTGACTCTGGCCTTTGCTCCCCAGGTGGGGTTTGGGGCCGGGATACACATTCTCCTTTGTCATCTGGTGGGAGCGGCCATGGAGAGGCAAGCTGTGCGTTTGTGGTGTTGGGCACTGAGTCCAGCTTTGCTTTTAGGATGTTTCCTTCAGGAGACCATCCTGGCAGCTCACAGCATGGGCAGGTTGCTTTCCTTTCTTTTAGTGGAAAGAGAGTGGTAATTGTTTTTCTTACTGGTAGTGAGTAACAGAGTAAAAATGAATCCCAAAAAACAAAAAGCAGCTTCTGAAAACCAGGGAATAATTGGGGAAAGTGTAGTCTGTGAGAGAACAGCACCAGCTCATGCTTGACCTGGGCTCATTAGCCTCAGAAATGATGAAATTCTCTCCTTGGTTGCTGGAGCTGGAAGTCTCGTTGGTTTCAGCTCTCCCAGAGAGGATGACGCTAGGCCGTCTTTCCTTATAAGCATGTGGCCACTGTGCCCAGAGCATGCTGGGGCCACCCCACTTCTGCGTTGGCACCGTCAGTGCCCAGACACGTGAGGATGCACGGCCAGTGCGCTCCCTCAGCTCTCTCCGCCCCTGAGGTCCTGCTCTTGGGGTGCTGGCATGTCTCTCCTCTCCTGCACTTTGGTTTTGAAGCAAATCCCAGGCCTGTGGCATTTCAGCTGTCCCTCCCTCCATGCAGCGCCCTAATAAAGGGGGTGTTTCCCGCATCTCCATGTCACTGCCACACCTGACAGAAGTGGCAATCATTCCTTCCGTCCCCTGATGCCCAGGCCATGGCACCCTTCCAGATCATCTCAAAGGCACCTTTGAACCGGTTTGTTCACCTCAGGGTACGAATGGGGCCCTTGTGCTGCCATTGTTCACTTTCTCCTTTTAGGAGATGCACTTCTGTTCCCTCTGTCTGGTTGAGCATCTCACCCCATCTCACTTTCTGGATTATTCTGCCTCCTCCTGGTGTCTGCCCCCATCTTAGAGCCGGAATATAGTGCTGGGCACTGGCTCGCATTCGAGGCAGCTTGAGGGTGGGCATGCACGTCCCAGGTGCTGGCCTGGCGGGAGCATCTCTGTGCGATTGCAGTGCGGAGCACGGGGCAGGGGAGGGGTGGCTGTGTAGGGCAGCCTTCGCTCTGGCCTGGGAGCTGCTTGTGGACCTTTCCTTATCTCCTCCTGCAGGTGGACGGCTTGTTCATCATTGGGTGGATGTACCTGCCTCCCCACGACCCCCACGTCAATGACCCCATGAGATTCAAGCCTCTGTTCAGGATTCACCTGATGGAGAGGAAGGCCGCCACGGTGGAGTGCATGTACGGCCACAAAGGGCCCCACCACGGCCACATCCAGGTGTGTGCAGTGGCAGGGCTGGTCCTCACCATCCCAGTGCCATCTTGCATGGGCTCCAGCCAGGCCTGCTTTGGTATTCTCAGGTGCAGACTTGGGCTATAGCAGATCCATGGGCGGGAGGGAGGCTCTGCCCTGCCCCACTGTGCATTGTTCACGCCCCCGTGGCGTGGTGGACTCCAGAGTCACTTGCCAGAGCCCTCTGTTGATTCCATTCTCAGAGCCGCTGGTTCTTTGCAACTTCAGTTCCTCTGTTTCTTTTTCTCCTGTTTGCAAGAATGTCAGTAGAACTGAGTGCGCTTTCTGCTGTCTGATCTGATCTGGCAGTGGTCCCCATGGTGAGCACCGTGTGTCATCTGTCACACATTGTGTGTGAGATGCAACCTTTTTGCTGTTCCATGTCACGCTGGGAAATGCAAACACCCCTCTCTGGGACGTACCACCACTTCCTGCTCTGTGGGGAGTGTTGCTCAGGGAGACTCCATTCCCTCCGCTGGCCCCGCATCAGTTGCATCTTGGGTGCCTGCAGATGGGTTTGGTGGGTGTGGTGAGGGAGGGGTCGTGGCCACCTGCCTGGCGTGGGGG